ACATCAATGCCCAACCAAATCCATTCACTAGAGTGACTCTCAATCCTTCATGAAATTCGAGGGCTTTTCTTTGCTTATCATGAAAAATTTTCTATCTACTTTGCAAAGTCTAATGGAACAAAATTGGTTTATACCATATCCCTTAGGTTTTGATGATAACAAAGTATTTAAAGAACAATTGGATAGACTAATATGTGTCCAAGTGTCCATGTACAAATATTAATATTCTTATTGAAAGTCAATTCTGATATTGCATTGAACATTCAAAGAAAAGCTATAATGATGCAGATTTTGAAGATCAGACTCTGAAGAATCAGCCTCTAATGATCAAAACCTGAAGACTCTAGACTATGATCAAGTTAGCTTCTAAAGATCAAGTCAACCTCTAAAGACTCAAATATTGAAGGATCATAAGCTAAGACTAAGACTCTGAGGGATCATAACTTAAATCCAGTCAAAGCTCAAGAACCAAGGAATGTCTGAAAGAAACAATTACATCTCTAAACCTTCAACATTCAATGGAAACTATACTGAGTTTGAGTGGTGGAAGAGAAAAATGTATACGCACATCATAAGTCTTAATAATGAGTTATGAGATATTCTTGATGATGGAATACATTTAGAGGAATCTTGGTAGATGTTCTACCTCATTCCGAGTATCTCAAGATTCTTGACAAATCTACTGCCAAAACCAATTTTAAATCTTTTTGTGCTTCCTAGGAAGAGAACCAGCAAGTTAAAGAGGCTAAGGCAAACCTTTTGGTTCAACAATATGAGCTATCCAAAATGAAGAAGGGTGAATACATTGAAACCATGTTCTCGAGGTTTCAAGTTCTTGTATCTGATCTTCATGTGTTAAACAAAAGTTATAAAATTATTATTCATGTCAAGAAGATTCTTAGGAATCTTCCTCCCATGTATATACCAAAGGTGACTGCTATACAAGAATCTAGATACTTGAACAAGATAAGTTTATAAAACTTAATTAGCCATCTCTAAAGTCATGAGATGGATTTGAATGGATATGAGCATGTTTAGAAGTCAAAGTCTCTTGCTTTGAAGTCTGTTGATCATTCGGCCAAATCTTCTTAAGTCTGGAAATATGAAGAACCTACTCATGAAGGAGATTCTGAAGAAGAATCAAAAGATAAATAAATGGCATGCATAATCAAAATATTTCAATATTTGGCCAATAAGAGGAACAAAATATTCTCTGGAAGAAGTAATGGCTTTAGAGGATTAAGTTCTAGAATCAACAGAGATAATTATAAGGGATGCTTCAACTGTAAGAAGTCTGGTCACTTTATTTCTGAGTGTCCAGTGATGTAGAAGGACCAGCCAAAGAAAGTAAGCTTTCAGAATAAAAATATGAACAAATTCAAGAAAAGTCTCATGGCAATATGGGATAAACTTGATAAAAAAAGAATCTGACAAAGATGAAGAAGAAGCCAATCTTGCTCTGATGGCTTCAACATTTTCAAACATAGAATATGGCTCAAGTTCTGGCTCAAATTCTGAAGAAGAAGATGATATATGCTTAAAGGGAGGAGCAAAACAATAGTCTTGATACCTGGATAATGGCTGCTCACGACATATGATAGGAGAAGATCATATGTTTCAAACTCTAACTCTGAAAAGAGGGAGGAAATATGGGATTTGGAGGAAATCAGAAAGTCAAGATCATTGATACACATACTATTGGTAACTCCTATATCTCTCTATTAATAATGTTTGATTAGTAGATGGATTAAAACATAACCTACTTAGCATTAGTCAATTTTGTTATAATGATTATAAAGTAATGTTTAATAAGAACACGTGTATAGTGTTCAAAGGCAAGAGAAAACACAATGTTTATAAAATAAACTTTTCTGAATTGGTTGATCAGAAAGTACACTACTTTCTATCAATGAGTGATGAAAGTGGCTCTGACACAAAAGGTTAGGTCATGCTAACTGGAGATTAATCTCTAAGCTTAGAAAGTTAAAACTTTTTAATGGGCTTTCAGACATTAATTATCACTCAAATGCTCTTTGTGAAGCGTGTCAAGTAGGAAAAAATCATTAAACCTCTTTTAAACCAAATAACATTGTCTCTACCTCCAGACCCTAAGAGATACTTTACATTGATTTGTTTGGTCCTGTTAGTACCGCATCAATCAATGGGAAGAAATACGGATTAGTCATTGTTGATGACTATAGTAGGTGGACTTGGGTTAAATTTCTTAGATCCAAGGATGAGTCATATGACGTGTTTAGCATCTTCTGCATACAAGTAAAAAATGAAAAAGATTCAAAGATTTCAAAAATCAGAGTTGATCTTGATGGGGAATTTGAAAATGAGCCATTTGTTTATAAAAAACATGGAATTATCCATGAGTTGTCTTCTCCTATAACTCCACAACAAAATGGAGTTGTAAAGAGAAAAAAAATATTTGCAAGAAATGGCTATAACCATGATTCATGAAAACAAATTACCTAAGTACTTGTGGGCAGAAGCTGTCAATATGACATGTTATGTTCAGAACAAAATCTATATTAGTCATATTCTAAACAAAACATCATATGATTTTTTCAAGGGAAGAAAGCCAAACATTTCTTATGTTCATCATTTTGGATGTACTTGTTACATTCTGAACAACAAAGTCTATTAAAAGAAATTTGAGGCCAAAGCTCAAAAAGGTATCTTCTTAGGATACTCTGAACATTTAAATACATACATGGTGTATAACTCTAATACTAGAATGGTTGAAGAGTCAATACATGTCAAATTTGATGACTAAGATCCTGGAAATAAAATGTCAGATCTTTTTGAAAGTTTTGCAAAATTATAGGTATCTGAAGACATCTTTGGAACTGGCTGCTCCATAGTCTCTCAACCTGTACTGGTTAACTGTTTAGAAACTGCTCAACCTTCAGAAGTTGTTTAACCACTAGAAGATGATTATCCAGAAGTTGATCCAACCTCTAAAACGCATGCAGATGAAGGAGCATCTGGACAAGCTTATGATGGTTCTCAGTTCGTAATACATTCCAAGAAGACCTTCAAGTATAAGTCTTCACATCCTAAAGAGTTGATCATTAGAAATAAGGATAGTCCTAGGAAGACAAGGTCTTCCTTTAGAGAAGAAGGTTCCATATTGGAACTTATTTCCATGATCGAACCTACTATTTATGAAGAATTATCAGATGATGGATGAATTGTAGCAATGCAAAAAGAGTTGAACCAATTTCAGAGGAATGATATTTGGGATGTGGTATCCAAACCCCATCAGAAGAACATTATTGGAACAAAATAAGTCTTCAGAAACAAGCTTGATGAACAAAGAGAAGTGGCAATAAATAAAGCTAGACTTGTGGCTCAAGGTTATAGTCAGTAAGAAGGTATAAATTCCTTTGAAACCTTTGCACCTCTTGCAAGGTTAGAGGTAATTAGACTACTCCTTTCATATGCTACTAATCATAATATTATCTTATATCAAATGGATGTCAAGAATGCATTTTTAAATGGTGTGATTTCTAAAGAAGTCTATGTCAAACAACCTCTTGGATTTGAGAATTATATCTATCCAGAATATATTTTTAAAATTAAGAAATTTCTCTATGGACTCAAACAAGCTCCTAGAGTTTGGTATGAGAGACTGAATAATTTTCTGTTAGAAAATAGTTTTTAAAAGGGACAAGTACATACTACATTATTCAGAAAGACACTGAGGAATGAAATCTTGATTGTTCAAGTATATGTAGATGATATCATTTTTGGTTCTACTAATGCTACTCTATGCAAGGAATTTTCTAAGACCATGCAAGTGAATTTGAGATAAGCATGATGAGAGAATTGAAGTTCTTTCTTGGAATTCAAATAAATCACTGCAGAGATGGAGTTTATGTTCTTCAGACCAAATACACAAAGGAACTTCTTAAAAAGTTTAAGCTGAATGACTACAAAATCATGACAACTCATGTGCATCTAACATATAATATGAACAAAGAAGAAAGTAACACCAAGGTCTGTCAGAAGTTGTACAGAGATATGGTTGATTCTTTACTTTACCTAACATCTCCTAGGCGTGATATCTTATTTAGTGTCTGCTTGTGTGCAAAATTTCAATTAAATTCTAGAGAGACTTACTTAACTCTTGTTAAGAGGATCTTTTGGTATCTGAAGAGAACAACTAATCTATGATTGTTTTATAAGAAATTCCTAGACTATATCAAAGAGCTTTGTAACAAATCTATTAATGCTTCTCTCAACACAAGTATTTTTATTCAATTAATAATAATAACTTTATTATTATCGAGAAAAATCATAAAAATTATGAGAAATAATAACATTTATTTGTTAAAAAATAATATTATAGCCTTATTTGTAAAAAAAATCCTTATTATTTACTTCAAAATAAAGATTTATAAAAGGCTATTTGTCTACTAAAAGAGTTTTAAAATAATAAATTAGAATATCTACACAGAGAAATCTTTTTTTGTTATTTGACTCGTACGTATATAATCATAAAAAGACTTATTAATTTATTAGTAGCAAAGTTTCCATTGTTGACTTTGACTGACTTAGTAGTATAGAGAGAGAGAGACTCAAGTACACGATTTGCAAATTGCAAGTAGCAAATTAGCAATATTCAAGCAAGCAACAAAGAACTACTCTTTCTTCAACCATTATTAGTTTTTTTTTTACGAAATTAAAAAAAATACAAAATTATTTAAATAATAGCAATTGGCCAACAACAACACCATCAAGTGGACCCCAATGAAACTCAATAATTTCCTGGAAAGAAGGTAATTGAAAAAGACAACTAACTTAATACCAAAAAAAAAAAAAAAGACAACTAACCCCAAACACACGGCACCGTTATCTTACCTCGCCTTTGGTTGTACAAAACCAAAAAAGGTAACGTCTTAATTAACGTTCACCGTTATCATAGGGTCTCGCATCAACACTTCAAACGTTAATGACTCGGTCCGATCAGCAAACACCATCTGTCTTCTGTCAAAACTCAAAAACATTTCTTTATTCTCTCTCTCTTCTTTTTCTCTCTCTCTTCTTTTTCTCTCTCCTCACGCGTCACTTTTCGAAGGTCGGTAGGAAAAAAAACCCATAATCATACCAACCCCACCTTTGTCTCCTTCCTCTTTTACTATATATCTCCCTTCCCCAACCAAACCATTTTCCTCAATTCATCCTATCTTTGTTTCTATTCTTCTTGTTTCCAAGTTTTTCTATCAACACCCCCTTCTTCTCTTCCTTGTCTTCTCGGAGGAAGAAGAAGAAACAAAACAGAGGAGAAAATAATATAATTTAAAACAATAGGACAATAATTCTATACGCAAACGACGTCGTTTTGGTTAATTATTCAGATCTAAACGCTCATATATTTTTTTTCTTCTTCATTTCCTCTCTCGGATTTTGAATTTTTTTTTTTCCATTCACCATGGGAACGGAAATTTTGCTACCACAGGATTGTTTGCATGAGCGAATCAGAGTTCCTCCGGCGAGTTTTTCCCGGCGAAGAACTTATGGAAATTATGGAAATTGTCATAATCATTATATCAATTATGTTAATGGCAATAGTAGTACTTTTTATGGCGCAACAAACTCCGGGAGAATTAACCGGAGACCGGTTGTTCGACCGGAGCAAAGAAAACGTGTTGTGGTGGCGGAGAAACGACCTAGTTACGATGATTTGAAGGTGGCGGAGAGAAGACCTAGCTACGATGATTTGAAGATGGCGAAAGGAAGTGAATTGGTGATGGAGAAGGTGATGATTCTCAGGAGAGGCGAATCGCTTGATTCGAAGATGAACAGCGAGGGATTGAAGAAGGAAGGTGACGATTTGGTTGTCATCGGAACACAGAGACTCGGACCCGACCCGAATATGGTTCCTAAACAGATCCGGATCGTTGATTTCAAGACCGGTTGCGAAGTTTACGCCGGATCCGCGTTCGCGATGTCTCCGTCGCCGAGCGCGCTTCCGATACCGTCTTTTCAGAGGAAGTTTGCGCCGGTAGCCGTCGACGACTCCGCTACGCGGGATCTGAGACGACTCCTCCGTATTGCATGAGTCTGAAACGGGTCATTTCCGGGTTCCGGGTCATATCCATACCCACGTCGACTTTTCATCTTCTCTTCCTTTTTGTATCTCTCCTTAATCTAGAATCTTCTTATTACCCGTTACGTCCTTAACCCATTTTTTTTAAATTCTAACTCAACCGTGATTTTTTTAAACGGAAGGGTTGAATTGAAAAATGGGGAAAAACTCGGGGCGGAAATGTTAATTATTAAAAGTTTGGAGTAGTGTTGTTGGGAGTTTATTATGTATAAGATCTTGTTAATGGGTTGTTAAGGGTAAAATTTAGGTTGTAAAATGAAATTAGAATTGGGAAAAAAATGAAAAAATAAATAAAAAAGAAGAAAGGATGGGAGGAAGACGGGGGTTGATTTGTAAATTCCGGAAGTGTATGTGCGTTTTGAAGAATTTGGAAATTGCGAGAATCTCGTAGGTTTGTTGTACCCTTTTGTATTGTAAAGTTATAAAAATTAAATAGGGAGATTTGGGCAGATTCATATTGTATCTTGTTTTATTACTACTCTTCATGCAATAAACTGGAAGCAAAACAGAACTTTATTAGAACAAGTACATAAATTTATAAATGATTATTGGTTTTTGGCTTATTTTGATAATTAAGTATATAAGATAAAGCAATAAATTATAGCTACAACGGAAAAAAATTTAGATATATTGTTTTGGTTAAGGATTGGATAAGGTGATGCTGTGGTGGATCTGAAGAATTGAAAAGAGATGAAAAATATCAATTTGATGTGTGGTAGAATTTGCAGAAAATTAAGTTCAAGTGTGTGTGGAGTTGGGAAGAGTAGGGCCTTAACTTTAGTTGGATGGGAAGTGCAGGGCCTTAACTTTCTTGTTGTATTCACCATTCTTTCATCCAAGCAATTGCACAAAATCAAAGTTTTTAAGTGATTTTGAGATGTTTGATTTATTAAAAATAATATTAATTTTTTTAGAATTGATTTTATTTGAAATTAAATAATTTTTACATTAAAATTTATTAATTCTATTTATTTTTATCTATATATAAATTAATTCTATTAAACTCAATTATATTAAAATCAATTCTATCAAATTTAATTTTATTAGAATTAATTTTTTCCACTCTGAATCCAAATATACATCTATATTAATTTCATAGTTCTATTTCTTTTCTTTAAGAAGCAAAGACTCGAATTCTAACCGGAGGTAACCTTTACACCACAATAAATATGTTTAATTGGTCTCAGTCCCTTAACTTAGTACATTAAGAGAACCTGCTACGTAAAAGACCCCGAAGACCCCAATTTTAACTAGAGGCAACCTTTATAACACTAAAGATATAATGTTTACCCCAATTCTAATTAGAGGCAACCTTTGCAACACAATATATATAATTTTTAATTAGTCCCGGATTCCTTAATTTAATATAATGTTTTACAATCTCTTATCTAATAAATAATAATGTTTAATTATTGAAAAACTATCATCTTAGTTAACTTAATTCTTAGAAACTGTTCTATTAGTTAATTTGTTAATTCTGCTAAATTTTAACTTAATATGTCTTAGGAAAGATAATATTATTAAATATTCACTATAAATTATGTTTCGTTCTAGAATCAAAATCAATAGTGTAACTATATAATGAGGTGTTGCGTCTTGCTATGGTAGTGATGTGCATAATCCTATAATGTTAACACTTTAATATCTAAGTTAATCGGTGAATAGTATAAAATGGAGTGAAATTTATGTGAGAAAATCATACATATTTTAGCGGTAAAGTGAGTATTTATAGGTTGGTTAGGTTTGAACATTTGGGACCTTTTGTGCCTAGCACTTTTTCAAAACAGTTGCCTTCAGGCTGGCTATGCAGTGAGGCATGTGAAGTCTTTAAATCCACGTCAGGCATCCCTTTGTCTATGACCTTGTGTCGAGGAGTGGAAAGGTTCCAAGGACAACTTCATTAAATGCATGTCTAATCATTGAGACATTTCGTTGAATGCCTTACATGTGGCTTTAGGTAAATAAGATAGGGAGTGACGTGTTTTCCTATATCATTTGAGTGCACTTGAGTACATTTGTATTTTTTTGACGTCATTTAAACTATTGATTATTGATCTTCTAATTTCTCACGCTTTATAACATTGGTTCCTAAGTTTCCTCTCTTATATAAGTTTCCTTTTGGCATTTCTCATAATTTTTCGTTTCCCTTCAGCCTTTCCCTTGCCACTATTGTGATTTCTTTCCATTTGTGCTACCATTTGGTGATTCTTGTTTCCAATTTATTTTCCACTTATTAGGGTCTGTAAGTGTTTAGTTATTGGCATGTATTTTTGGTAAAACCAGGTGTGTAAATGTCATGACTGATGTCATAACATTCTGGATTTTTAGGTTCTTTATGCAGAAAAAATATGGCATTCAGTAGCTACTGTGTATGAGTGTGTATCTGAGTATTTTGCAAAAGATCACATTTATTGCCTTCTACCAAAATCAGTAAATAGGAATTCTGATGTCATAACAAATGTTAAGACATCCTGTACTGATCTAACAGATATGCAGTTTGGTTAATTCTGAGATTTTTTAAGAAGATGGCTCATTCTTTCCAGAACAGAATCTCACGTGGACTTTAGGTTAACCTAGCTCAACCCTAATCTGGTTGATAAAGTCTTGTGACCAAGTCTTAAGGTTAAACCTAATTAACCCTAGCTTTTTGTGGAAACCCTAACTGAAGAAACAGCTGCTATATATTCAACAGGATTGTTGTTTGGAAAATATCTTTTTTGACTGAAGATCAATTAGGAGCTGTATAGTTTTAACTGCTGTAATCCAAGCAATTATCATTGTGATAAGTGACTTGGAATAGGTTTTGATTGTAAGGGTTTTTGTATCACTCAAAGCTTTGAAGCAAGAGTGTTTTGTGTCTCTTGACTAAAGCTTTGAAGCAAAGTTAAGTTAGGTTTATGTATCACTCAAAGCTGTGAAGCAAGAGTGTTTGTGTTACTTGATTAAAAAGCTGTGAAGCATAATCAAGTGTATGTTCTGAAGAGTGTCTTCATTAATTCATTAGTCAATTGTTTTAAGTATCACTGCTGTGATTGAGGGGGAGTGAGTAGGAACTCAGGTTTAAGTTGAACTTAGATTGAAGTTGCATTGGGTAGGTCTTAAGTGAAGGAGATAAACTGGTTGGTTTATTCCTGAATTAATATCTCTTATAGTGGATTTCCTCCCTGGCTTAGTAGCCTCCAGAGTAGGTGTTGTTTCACACTGAACTGGGTAAACAATTGACTGTGTTCTTTACTGTTTTTATTTACTGTCTTATAGAAAGTCAGATACGGTGTCATAACATTCACTGTGACATTGAGTATCTGCTGCCAGAATTTCAATTGGCATCAGAGCAGGCACCATGTCTGTATTACTGAGTGAGATCTAGGGATATCACTTTCTGGCACTATGGACAAAGAAGGAGTTTTTGGAAATAGACCACCCATTCTGGATGGAACAAATTATGACTACTGGAAACCTCGTATGATTGCCTTCTTAAAATCTCTGGACAAAAAGGCTTGGAGAGCTGCTGACAAAGGATGGAACCATCCCACCATAACTGAGAAAGATGGGACAATCAGTCTGAAGCCTGAGGAAGAATGGAGCAAAGAAGAAGATGAGTTAGCCCTGGGAAATTCTAAAGCTTTAAATGCCTTGTTCAATGGAATTGATAGAAACATTTTCAGACTAGTACATCAATGCGAACTGGCCAAGGAAGTGTGGGACACTCTCAAAACTACCCATGAAGGCACATCCAAAGTAAAAATATCAAGGCTTCAGATGCTGACTACAAAGTTTGAGAACCTAAGGATGAAGGAAGATGAAACCATTCATGAGTTTCACATGAACATCTTGGAGATTGCCAACACCTCAGGAGCATTGGGTGAAAAGATGTCTGAAGAAAAACTGGTGAGAAAGATTCTCAGATCCCTGCCTAAAAGATTTGCAATGAAGGTAACTGCTATAGAGGAAGCCCAAGACATCAGCAACTTAAAGGTGGATGAACTCAATGGGTCTCTTCAGACTTTTGAGATGGGGATCAGTGACAATGTTGACAAGAAAAACAAGAGCATATCACTTGTATCCAACAATGAAGAAGAAAATATTTCAGAAGCTATAGCCATGCTTGGAAGACAATTCAACAAACTCATCAAGAGAATGGATCCAAAGTCAAGGTCAAATGTTGAGAACATCCCCTCTGACATTAACAGATCTTATGACTCCAGCAGAAGACCAAGGTCTGAAAAGAAGGGAAATCAAGGCAGAGGGATTCAATGTCATGGTTGTGAATGATATGGGCATATTCGAGCTGAATGTCCTACCTTTCTTAAGAAACAAAAGAAAGGTATGACTGTTACCTGGTCTGACTGTGATTCAGAAAGTAATTCTGAAGAAGAATCTGCCAAACTAGTTACTGCACTAACTGGTGTTTGTACCTCTGAAAGTGACTCTAGTGATGAGGAAGTGACATTTGAAGAACTGGCTGATACTTACAAGAAATTGTGTATCAGAAGTGCTGAAGTCTGTGTGCAAAATGAGAGACAAACAAAACTCATCATAAAGTTGGAGGCTGAAAAAAGGGCAGACCTTGAAACTATAAGTCATCTAGAAGGGGAAGTTCAAATGCTGAACTCAAAATTGAACCAGATGACCAAATCTGTCAAGATGCTGACAAATGGAACTGACAAATTGGAAGAAATCCTTCAGGTTGGACAAAATGTGGGAAACAAGTCTGGACTAGGATTTGTGGAAGCAAAGAAATCTGGTGCAGACAAGAAGATCAGGTCTGATAAACAAATGTCAAAGCAGATGTCACAACATAACACTCAACATCGGGAACAGAGAAATATGAAGAAAAAGTACCAAAGATGGAGATGTCATCATTGTGGGAGGTTTGGTCACATAAAGCCTTTCTTCTTCAGATTGTATGGATACCCTAATCAGAACCCAAGTGTCAAACCTAAGTCTAACAAGGTTCCACATACTCCCCAATGGAAGAAAAAGGCTATTGCCCTGATAGCCCACACTTCCCTGAGAGTCTCTGCAAAGGAAGACTGGTACTTTGACAGTGGGTGTTCTAAGCACATGACTGGAATCAAGAACCTTCTAAATAATGTTAAACCTCACACCACTAGTTGTGTGACCTTTGGAGATGGTGCTAGAGGTGAAATCAAAGGAGTTGGTAATTTGGACTGCCCTGGAGTTCCAAATCTGAATGAAGTACTATTGGTAAAAGGCCTGACTGCTAATCTCATTAGTATCAGTCAATTATGTGATCTAGGATTCAAGGTCAACTTCTCAAAATCTGAATGTCTTATAATTAATGAAAAACAAGAAATAATAATGAAATGAGTCAGATCTAAAGACAACTGTTACTTGTGGGAGCCTGAGAACACTAATAACTCCACTGTGTGTTCTATTGCCAAAGAAGAAAAAGAGGTGAAACTGTGGCACCAAAAACTTGGCCATCTTCATCTAAGAGGAATGAAAAGGATTATCTCCATGGAGGCAGTCAGAAGGATTCCAAGACTGCAAATTGATGAAGGGAGAGTTTGTGGTGAATGTCAGGTTGGTAAGCAGACTAGAATGTCACATCCAAAGTCAAGACATCTGACCACCTCTAAGGGTCTAGATCTTCTTCATATGGGACCAATGCAGGTGAAAAGTCTTGGTGGAAAGAGATATGCCTATGTTGTGGTGGATGACTTTGAAGTTTTTAAAGAACTGTGCAAAAGAATTCAAAGAGAAGGGTGTATTGTCAGAATCAGAAGTGATCATGACAAGGAATTTGAAAACAGCAAGTTTAATAAGTTTTGTTCCTCAGAAGAAATTAGTCATGAATTCTCTTCTCCTATAACTCCTCAACAAAATGGAGTTGAAGAGAGGAAAAATAGGATCATACAGGAATTTG